AACAAACACTACATTTATTATATTGTTAACGCTTTTTGGACACAAAAAGGCAATTATTCTTTGATTAAACTAAAAATGTGTAAAGCTCTTGTATAAATTAACAATTTTTACACACAAATTTCAAAGATTTATTTATTTCGTTGTGTTTGTTTTGTGTTTGAAAAATTCCAAATGTCAAAGACAAACCAAAGCTTTTGTGGAACTTTTGTTTCTGAGTGCGTTCAATAAAATAGTACGGCAATTGGAACGCATTTGTTTCGTGATTTTGTGTAAATGCGTCGAAATGCGTCATTCTGGAAATGTGAATTTGTATGGAGAAATGCGTGATTTGGCCTCGCATTTGAGGTTTCTCGCCCAAATGACGCATTTGGGCTCAATGTAAATGTAATATTAGTGAATTACCATGAACGAAAGACACAAGATCACGCGGGAAGGAAAGAACGAAAAAAGTTATTTTCTAGCTGCCGAAATCTCGACGCCATCTTTGTTGTAAGAAGTAAACAACGAAGAGAACGGAGAAAACCGCGAAATTTTTGAACGCATGAAAAATCATTTTTATTATGCAAATTCTTCTATAAATCATGCCGTTGTGTTAAATTATTCTTTATCTTATGTGTACACACGTCGTCACAAGCGAAAATGAAGAAAATTACAGTAAAAAGCCACCATTAAATTGTAAACAACGAAGAAAGGTAAACAAACGGCTAATGTCAAAATCGTTCAACTTTTTTCCTAAATGCGATTCTAACGGGCTAGTCTCCTGCCCGCGTGATCTTGTCTTTTTGGTTCATGGTGAATTACTTAGAGAGCGAATTACGAATTGTGGAAACAGCGTGTAACCTAGTGTTATTGAATCATGGTATGGGAGTACATTTTCGTAGTGGCAGAATTAACGCCTTGGCAGCCCTACAGTTAATCGGTGCAGTCAACGCCACTTATTTGTCATAAAATGTCTGTGGAAAAAATATATCGATGTTTATCTTGAATTCGATGAAAATCGGAGCACCGATTTGCATTTAATTTTTCAGGCATTAGTTTCAGGCTAATTACTAGCTAAATACAAATGTTTCTAAAGGAACTTTTAAAGATTTTTAAATTTTTTGGTCAAACTTTTCTATTTTGCATACATAATTGAAAATCTCAAATGGTTGTTTAATGTACTAGAATTGTCGAAAGCAAAACATCGATATATTGTATGCATCGATGTTTTTCCAACATACCTAAATTGCCATTTGGGATAGATTTGCTCCAGTAGTTTAGTGGAAATTATAAACGTTTTGCAGTAAAATGGCAAATTTTATGCAAAAGAGTGTGGTGACCTACGCTTGCACCTGTGGTCTTGTGAATCCAATAACTAAACTCTTTTTCTGTCGACACTGTTTGAAGCTAAGGTGTGGTTTTTGCGTCTGCCACGAAGTGAGTAATATGTTGCCCTTTTACGTTGACATCTAAATTTCATTCGATTTCGTATCCTATAATGCATCAGGTTGATTCGCATTTTTGCTCCAATTGCTTGGAGAACATACCCTCGTCGGAAGCAAAGCATAAAAAGAATTGTTGCACCAATTGCTTTAATTGTCCATGTTGTCAACATACTTTGTCCGCAAGAGCCACCATGGTTGTGGTTCCCAAGTAAGAATCATTTTTTTGTTTGTAGTTAAAAACTTATATTAAATTTGGTACAGGAAATCTGATGAAGCTCCTAAAGAGAGTGAAGGAGATGGAGGAAAGGTTGTAACGAAGAAAATGTATTATCTCTCATGCCTGGGTTGTCGGTGGACGTCCCGTGATGTGGGCATTCCTGATCAATCTGTTGGTAAGTAATGCCCCTAATACTCCCGAACGTTGCTCATACATAATTACATACTGTTCTACCGTAAGCGACTGGAGCTTGGCCGGAAAATGATTGTTCTTACCAGACACGCTTCAATGCGCTGTTGGAATACTACCAAGCTGTCGTCTTGCAAGACAAGCAAGAAAAGCAGGAATACTTAAGACGTAAAACACCCAAGGCACATAAATTTCCAAGTCTGACCGTATGTAAACAAGCAGAAGCAAAGTTGAAATGCCCCTATTGCGAAATGCATGAATGAAAATGTTCCAAATCGTCATTGACCCGTGGTTGCTCATATCTGACATTTCCATCAAATATACTTTAAGAATTGCGATAACTGATACTTTTTATTGATGCATTTCCGAAAAAGGGTGCTTGTTATAAATTTGAAAATTTGTTAATCATAATAAATTATACTTGCTCGCCTCAGGATCGCACGGGTCTGACTGTTTCGATGATACGCCGCCAAATTGGCTGGCCAGATAAAAATACTCAAAAGGCAAAGCCGGTAAATATCTCACCATCAGTTGCCACTGAAGAACTTGAGGAGCTACCTGATGAGGTCTTTACGCAACCATTAAATCTCAGAAACGGTAAACCAAAAGTTACATTTCTGAAGAATACGCACATGTAAACATTTTTTAACCGCCAATTGATTCTCGTAGTGAGTAATATTAAGCAACGTCATGGCCAACCGTCCGATCAGCCTTTCACAATCGACAAGCTATATCCACAACGTAGAATTCTTTGGATTAAACGTTCATTGCGATGCCGCCAGTGTGAACATAATGTCATTAAACCAGAATACCACCCTACATCCGTTAAATATCGTATACAACTTTTCGCTAATTACCACGTCCCTGACGTTTTACTCGTCCGAACTGACCAGCTGTTGTATGCCGGAAAATCCAGCTCAATAACTCTTAAACTTACTAACCCAACAATGCATGATATGTCGATTAAAATTAAAGAACTACCGAATCATACTCAGGAGCTAGATATGATAGAAGAGTTTAAGCTCGCATGCAAAATAAAGGAAACCACGGCAACCAGTGCTGCTGCAGAATCGCTGAAATCAATAACGAGTTCGCCATCACTGACAAGCACTACACTTTCGAGACAAACTTCGCTGATAGAAGATCCACGCTTAGTGAAGGAGAAGACCAACGCCAAATTAGACACTAGTGAGATGACATTTGTGCTTAATCAGCGTGACGACTCCACAGAATTCGATGAAGATGTGGAAACACCTCGAGAGGAGCCAGAGTAAACTGCTGAAATATGAATATAAATCTAGACATATATGTGTATTTTGGTTTTATTTGCAGATTTATAATTTGGCGTAAATCAAACAAAGCGTCAATTCGTCTGAACTTCACTACTGATGAATCATTGAAAGTTGGCGAACTTGTTAAAGTTGGTTTCACAATGGAATACACTTATGTAAACACAGTGACCAATGCACCAACTTCTCATACCTTGAACGCGCGTGTGTTTATCGACGCCGGCCCGATCGTCGCCAATTAAATTATTACTATTTATTTTAATGAAGGAAATACGAATATCTAATTTTTTAATGTATAACGAAACTTGTGCTCTTAATGTTTGGAATTATCGCAAACTGTTTAGTTATGTATAACAGTGATGATTTAGCGGCTTAATTTTATTTTCGCTGTATCAATAACAAGGGCCGTGGGCTTTGGTACAGTACACATTTATGCATGCTGCTTCAAAGTGATAATCCAACTTATGCTAAAATAAAAAAATAAAAAAAAAACGTAATTTATTTTTAAAGGAAACACAAAACTATTTATGTACTTTAAATTGATTTATTTTTTTTCTTCAACCACGATGCTCATACATTATAATCATGGGCAGCTCCAAAATGTTTTTTTTTATACATATTCAGCGTCGACACGGATCATGATTAAATAATTAAGGTTGGCCCACTAGTGACATTAGTGTTTAGACTTTCTTACAGAGGGTTGCACACACGAGAAGCTGATTTCTGACCAAACCTTTTATTATTGAATCATGGACACGGATATCATGTATACAAACATATATGCCGCTTTTTGTTATTGTAAGAGTATACAACTTTCACATATTTGTAGAAAATGTGACTGTCCATGGCGGGTTATGATTTCGACTCGCTTCGGTAGCACATGCTACTGCCTTCCTTTTTAATTTTCAGTGTAGTTAGCATTAGGGATATACAGATAAGAACAAGTATAATTGAATTTACAAGGGACACACAATTCATTGTTTGGTTTGTAGCAGATTTTCTATCATTTCAATAAGATCCACCAGGAGAAGTCCACCCAACTTAAATTAAAGTGCCATTTTTCGTCCTTCTATAGAAATTTCCACAGCGCGCCGCGTTGATTTCAAACGTTTTGCGTCCAAAAACTTTTTCATGTGCTTTTCGAAGCGATTAGGCTTACGTTTTGTCGACTGCAATTAAAGTTTAAAGTCGATTTTATTTTATATACACTTTGGTTTACTCTAAAGCGATAACATACCGACGATATTTCCCCCTCAACAGTTGATTTCGGGCGTACGACATAATCTTTATTGGATGGCAGAGGCACTCGTGCACGCGCCACCCATCCTTTGTCTCCAGGTCTTAATGGTGTTTCGTCCGAGTTCGCAAAAGCCGAATTCAAGCCCCTCTTCTTGCTGGTGGATGCAGTTGGCTGGGGTTCAGGTGATTTTTGGCGACGCGGCATCTGTGCTAAATCTCTTTCTTGTCGTTCTTCCTTCGACATTGCTTTGAAATCGCAGCTCAAATTGAAAATCGGTCGAGCCCATTCGGATATTAAACGGCCTGCACGATCTCGATTTGATTTTGTTTCCTGTGGATGCTTATATAAATACATGACAGCCTTTCCTATTCCCGATTGTTTCAAGTAAGTTTTGTCAATAGTGGGAAACTAAAATAATTGCACTTAAATAAGTATACATTCAAATGCATGAGCAACAATCTAGGACTCACGTCGGCCAGTAGTCTCAAAATGTTGTCGCGTATTTGCATACAAGGTAAGCTTCTGTTTGGTAGTGGTGCCAACCAATCAGTAAGCACATTCAATATATTATGCTCCAAAAACGCTAATTGCAAATCCTTCTTAATAAGCTGTGACATGACCACTTTCAGCATTGAGATCTTTTTGACCGCTGGTCTACCCTCCATGTTCAGGTGTCGGTCTTCATCGGCTGCGTTTTTCATACCTACGATCAACTGATCAATCAAGTCGTCATTGTCGTTTATCAAGCTGATATCACGTTTGCGACGACGCACACGCTTTTCTTCCTTCTTTCGTAGTAACATGGCATCAAAGTCTGATATAAAATTATCATGTCTGAAAATTTACAAGCATTTTTTGTAATAAAAGTAAATGTGAACATAAATTTACTCATTATATATGTATGTACGTACTCTCGACTATCGTCAATCGGAATATTTTCATCATCTGAACTGTCCTCCCCTTTTTTCTGCTCAGAATCCTTGTCCCCCTTTGCAACTTCGTCCTTTTCTTCTTCGTCCTCATTGTCGGTGTCAGTGATTTTTGCTCTCTTAGTGGTAGACGAAGGCCCTTCATCTGAATTGTATATAGTTTTTAAATTTTGGAAATGTTCAGTTTCAAAAACGAAATATGTATGTATGTACAAACCTTCGGAATCACTTAAGATATTTCTCTTTCTTCCTTTTTTTAATGTAGGCGACCCTGAGCCTGACCTTGAGCGACTACCAGATTTTGACCTAGAGCGTGCAACCGATCCTGATCGAGATCTAGATCTGGACTTTGAGATGCTGCGACTGTGGCTTCGGCTACTACGGCCACCAGAACGACTTCGAGACCTTGGTGAACGGCTGCGAGAACGCCGAGAGCCACTATGAGACCGCCGCGAGCCGCTACGAGACCTGCCGGATCCACTTCGTGAACGTCTTGATCTACTGCGAGAGCGAGCCGAACCGCTATGAGAACGTCTTGAGCCACTCCTGGAACGTCTAGAACCACTACGTGAACGACTTGAACCACTCCGGGATCGCCTTGAACCACTCCATGAGCGTCTAGATCCACTGCGGGAACGTCTAGATCCGCTGCGTGAACGTCTAGAGCCACTTCTCGAACGCCTGGATCCACTTCGCGATCGCACTGATCCACTACGAGAGCGATGGGAGCCACTTCGCGAACGCCTTGATCCACTTCGCGAACGCCTTGACCCACTTCGCGAACGCCTGGATCCACTTCGTGAACGCACAGATCCACTTCGTGAACGAACGGATCCGCTACGAGAGCGGCGGGAGCCACTTCGTGAACGTCTTGATCCACTTCCGGATCGTATAGAACCGCTACGGGAACGACGTGAACCACTACGGGACCTTTTCGAACCACTCTTCGATCGTGCAGATCTACTACGTGATCGCTTGGATCCACTTTTTGAAAGAACAGAACCACTGCGGGAACGATGCGATCCACTGAGAGATCTTTTTGATCCACTTCTTGAGCGTGCAGAACCATTGCGAGAATGTCGTGAGCCGCTTCGAGAGCGACCTGAACGAACTGAGCCACTGCGTGATCTAGAATGTTCTCCCGATGCGCTATTTCTACGTTTATCTGCAGATTTCTTTATTTCATCTTTTGCATTGCCATCTCTAGATGCAGGGCTCAAACTACGACTGCGACTACGACTACTCCTATTGCTTTCTTTACTTACATCACCAAGTGCAACTTTTTCACTTGGACTGGTACTACGACTACGACTTTTTGGTCTAGCGCTAACATCTCCATTAACAATTTCTTTTTCCACGTTTTCGCCTGTGATATCAACTTTGGCCGGTGATGCTGGTGCTTGTGGGCTTTGTGAGCGTGACTTTGATGGCGATTTCCTAGAGTCATCAGCAGTCTTTTCAACATTAACATTGGTGGGGCTTTTACTACCCTCCTCATTGCTTAAATGGTTTTCCTCATCGATTGCTTTAACGTTGGCTTCTTCGCCTTCATTTACCTCATCGATTGCTTTAACGTTGGTTTCTTCGCCTTCATTTTCCTGAGTAGCAACAGTGGTATCATCTTCTATAAGTTGTGGCTTTTCGGGGAGTGCTGCTGAAGTGTCGGGTGAAACCTCGGCAACTGCGTTTGCATCAGAACCTTTTTCACTAACTTCTATATCTGGAAATTTCATCGAAATATGTAAACTTTTGTTAAATACAACCTAACCTCACTCTTGGTTTAGACGACTTTTTAGAACATCGTCCTTACCGTTTTGTGTGCTTTCCATAGTTACAAATAAATTCTGCAGTGGCTACACCGAATAAAACGGATTAAGCCTAAAATACTGATGCGATCCCAGTAAACCCACGTTATTTTTAACTAAATCCTAGACCTGAAAATTTACGCTTTTTGACAAACAATTATAAAATTATTGTTAGATATGGACCGGTCAGTCGAGTACATAATCGATAAATGTGTTTGACGCACTTGCAGCAACACGCTTCAATTTATGGTATGCCACTTTATATGTTATGCGATTTTTTTCTTAGCATTTATTCATGTGATCGAAAATAATAATACTAATAAATTGAATGTGAAAGAAAGTATATATATTTTTGGCTTTCGTACTTATTTTAATCAATTAAAAACCAATTTCACTTCAATACCTTATTGTTATTTATTACCCGGATGTAAGGAGACCATGCGTATGTGCATTATCAAGAAAAATTCCGAAACATGGCAGCGCTGTCAAATTCATCACAATAGTGATTTTGGAATTACTTGTATTGTCATCAAAATATAAAACAAAAATATAAAAGTAAAACGGAATTGCATTGCAAAATAAGTTCTCACGATGAGTTATCGTGGTATTCCAGCCGGTTATGAGGACGATGAGGATTGGTTTAGCCTCTCAGATGGGATGCAAAAAATCACCGTCGTACCAGACATCACAATCGGTGCGGGTCTAAACAGGGAAAACTTTGACCGCAGTCTCAGCCCTGACGTTGGCAACTGGTTCGATGGTTACAAGGAGCACTGGAATTCATGTGAGAAGTTTTCCTCCAGAGTTTTCACAGTTTCTTACCTAATAAATGTTTTATCCTTATATATGCATGTATGTACATACATATACATATGTATGTATGTTCTCAATATAGACAAACGCACACCGTCTGCTCAGCACAATCTCATTGTGATGCTCATGAAAGATGCAGATCCTCTCCTCCTGGCCTTAAAATTATTCGCTAATTGTCCAGGGTGTAATAATTTAAAAAACAAGAACTTGGCACTATACAGTAAGACTTGGACTTTGAATAATTGATACATCTTTATAGAACTAATGATTCTTTGTACATATATAGTACTAGAAACCATTTCCGACCTCCACAAACAATATCCAGATATATCGAATAAAAGCACAGACAACACGCGCATGGTTGCTTTCAATTTTGTGAAGACTTGCGGAATTGTACCGTTATATAAGGCTGTGATGACCACCTATGAATTGAACAGGATACGTGAACTGTTGGTGCCTAAAATAAAGGAACTAATTACACATGGGCACTTCAAAGATGTAAATATATAAATATAAGTATATTATATTTCAAGAAATCTTATCAGCCATTTTACAGGCGGCTTATTGGACAATGCACTTGCAAATTACGAATCTTTTTGACATTTTCGATATAATATTCCCTTTGATTTTACAAGACAAGGTGTCATTGGCGGAAGAGTATCTTACTGCAGCTAAAGATTTGACATTGCCAACCGTGCAATTTCTTGATTCCTTATTGGATAAACAAAAGACTGTTATGGAACACTGTGATGAAATATTAACGTAAGTTAGGTTCAGACAAATTTTTTTGCCTCTGTCCTAAGAATTAAAAAAATTTTTTATTACTTTATTTTGCTTTACAGAAAATATGAGTACAAAGATATCAAACATAATGTCTTAAGTTATCGTCCCATGTCTAAGTTAGTCACGCGTTTGGCGAAGAAATATAAAATTGATTCTCAATATACCCCCAATCTGAATTTTACAAAGTCTTGTTCGTATATGCATTACCTGTGGCACAAATACCAAGATGGTGGAATGAGTTGCGAGGCTTGGCGTGAATTAGCTCGCGATGCTGCCAGTACGAAACCATTACAATTAGATTTGATTTCAAATGTAGCAACTTACGGTGACTATGAGGAAGCAATCTTCTGGGTAAAGTACTTCAACCTACAGAAGGATGAGTGTCCCAATGATATACGCCAGTACATGCAAAAGAACCGATCGATTGAGGATATGCACAACACTAGCAATGAATCATCTAATTCCGCTAATAGTGCGGGGGCAATGAACAAATCAAAACGTTCAAATTCCTTAACAGCAAATCGCTACTTGACACTAAATCTCCCCATTGAATGCGTTTTGATAATAGATGATCGTGTGAAGTTTCTTGACATGTTAGATTACTTGGAAGGCCAACTGCTTATCGCCTTCGATTCCGAGTGGAAGCCAACGGTTTGTAATGAAAATGTCATATCACTGCTGCAGATGGCTATTATGGATCGCGTCTACCTATTAGATTGCTTATCGCCTAACCTTAGTGATGATTTATGGCAGGAACTCGGACGTAGAGTGTTCAATAATTTGGAGATTTTGAAAATAGGATTTTCCCTGCATCAAGATTTGCGTATGTTGCACAAATCATTGCCGTTGCAATTAAACCTTAATTCGAAAACTTGTTATTTGGATTTGCGTGAGTTATGGCGACGTTTGAAGTACTTACAGATTGTCAAATTTCCATTTGAGAGTGGCTTCAATTCGGGAGAAAGTTTATGCGTGTTGGCCGAGATCTGCTTGGGTAAAAAGTTGGATAAATCAAATCAATGTTCAAATTGGGCCAATAGGCCGCTCCGTCATGACCAAATCGTATACGCTGGTGAGTAGAAAAACTCATAATAATTTCAATGCAATTTTCATCTTACATGTATATTTTTTCTTTTGTAGCCCTGGATGCGCACTGTTTGTTACAAGTTTATCAAGTGCTTTCAGAAATTTTAACACGCATGGGTTTAGATGTTGATCAAGTAGTTGATGAGGTTACAACGGGCAAAACAGGTTATTTGTTTCGAATGAAGCGCGTTATCAACGAGCAGTTCGACGACCCCAGTTCCGGTGTAGTTAAAATGAATGCGCAGAGAGTTAAAGCAGTTAATGCAAAAACTGAAAACAATGGGTAAGCATACTTGTTGGTATTCTAAAGTATATTTCTATATTTATTCCAATAAATTCAATGATAATAATTTTAAGTTTTTTTTTTTTAATATTTTAGCGGTATTCGAACGAAATTCATTTGTGACAGCATGCTATACGGCCTGTCAAAGGAGTTACGTAAGTTAGGAATCGATTGCGTGGAAGTAATCAAGGACGACTTGGATCACTATATTGATATCGCTAAAAGGGAAAATCGTTATGTACTTACACGGGACTCGCGTTATAATTTGTTTGTTAGTGAATTGCCACAAGAGCATTGTCTACAAATCCCTACTGATTCCAGCGTAGAACAAGTATTGAATATACTTCGGCTGTTGGACATAAAAATATATGAGAGTAATCTCTTTACACGATGTTTGAACTGCAATAGCAATGAATTTATATTAGCACTGAAGCATGAAATGCAAATAATACGCTATGGTCAGGCATTGGATGAAATGAAGGATGAAAGTGGTGAAAATATGAGTCCATACGAAAAAAATTTTCAATTATGTACGTGTAATAAACTCATCTGTTATTTACATAACTTTCGTTAACTTTGACACATCTCATTACAGTAACTGTTAACAATCATGTTTTGAAATCAAAAACGACCTATCGTGGCAGGAGTATAAAGGTGAATCGCATTAAATCCCACATATTACGCTCGAAGGAACATTTTTATATATGTGATGTAAGTTTGTTAAATTAAACGAGGACATTATATATTTCTAGACCCAATTCATTTACAGAACTGTGGTGTATGTACTTGGGATGGTGCCCATTCCATACACAGCAGTGTTATGGAAAACGTCCTCTACGGTAACTGCGAAACTGCTGCTGCTTCTCGATTTTAAACGCTTAATATAATAAACAAATCATTGCGACTGAACTTTTTGCATTGGGGTGGTCTATGAATATTGTTTTTTTTTTTTCCTCAGACATATAAGCATCTTTTTATATACATACATAGTTCTATATGTAAAAGTGTATACATTTGTATTCTTAAAATCGATGAAATCTTAATTTCGTGTTTTTTTTTCTTCAAATATATACCAATTCTTATACATACAAATGTATATTCGTATTTTTAAATTAGTACAAAATCAACAATATTACAAATAATAAAAGTACATTGAAGTGAATTAACAGTACATGAAGGAAACGAAATACAAATTAATTAATGCATATGTATGTTAGTTTATACATACATACATAAATTTAATCTAGAAATAATGATAAAATGATGTAGTGTAGTGTTCAAGTCTCAATACAAATGAGACATACATACATACATACATACGTACATACATATGTGTCTGTAATAAATGAATTTAATAAAAAGATGGCGGAAACTATATGAAATTTGTATTTTATTTACGTATCGTTTGCACAAATTCTTAGGCCGGCAGACTGTATTGCTAACATAGTATGGAAAGGGCGTATCGTCGCTGAAATGCAAAAAAAGCCTCAACTCAATTTTTTTTTTGCATAAAACGACGTGGGGACTTATAATTCGATGAAACGCATCATAATCAATCAAAATGTGAATTTTGGATTTTTACTTAGTTAAGGCTTTTTGTATTTCAGCGCCGATGTGATTTACGCCCGTACTATACTAACGATATGTACATACGTGCATATATGTAATTATCACCCTCCGTTGTAGTTAGAATGGAGCAAGTTAATAAGTACGTATTAACATATATTTGTCAGCGTACTTTGGCTGCGTTTCTGGATTATTATATATTAGGGCTAGAAGTTCTATACGGATTTTTTGTAATCTCAGGAATACGGATGTTCGAATATCTGATTTAAAAATCCGAATAACCGGATAACGAAATTATCGAATATCCTTAACTAAAAGTATTGACGAGTGCACCACATAGTCAGTGTTGCCATTTTAGCCGTTTTCCGGCTAGATTTAGCCGGTTACGATAGCAAACAGCCGGAGAAAATTCGGTTTAGCCGGCAGCCGATTTGTTAGCCGTTTTGCAAAAAAAATTAGCCGGTTTTAGCCGATTTTGCTATTTGCTATTCGCCTTATTTTATTAAAATTCAAATATACAAGTTTTTATTTTTACAAATTTAGTGATCCAAAATCTATTAGAAATGGCTAGTCTTATCCGTGAGAAATTTTTTTTCTGTCGGGCTGTGTTATATAAAATTGAAAAACAATTTTTTCTAACCCGAAAAGTCTTCAGATAGTGAGCCGATTTCAATGTTTTTTTTTTTGTTTTAAGCGAGTAACCCAATTACATATAAACTGGGACGCGCCATTTTAGCTGATTATTACAAATTTTGCTGAAATTTTGCAGAATTTTCATAATTTTTACACAAAGTCTAAAATCTGGATGTAGTATATGGTTTTTGTTAAGTAATGAGCTACATATTGTAAAAAATAATAAACATTAAATAAACTAAAGAAAAATAGGCGAAAATTGCTTCAATTTTTGTTAAGAATGTCTTAAATTTAAGTGTGAAGTTTTACACGCAACAAAATAAAAGAGCACAAATTTCGATGTGGAGCAAAACTCTCTGGGGAGACAATACCTGTGAAGAATTGCATCATGGTGCTAATATATTTTATTTTTGTTATCATTGTTGTTTCCGAGTTGGTGGCCTTCAGCCGCACTAGAAGAAATAACCTCATCAGTCCAACTCCGGTTACGCCATCCACAGTATTTTTGCGCAAAATCCACCTCCAAATTTACAATAAATGTGCATATTTCAAACCGAAATCTTTATTTTAAATTAAAGCTTAATCCCTTTGCTAGACGTATATGTACAATTTTTATTTATTCGGGTCACGTGTTTGGACACGATAACCCAAAATCATTGTACAAATAACCGAACCGTACCCAAACTGTCTTACTTATGCATTTTTCTATAAACAAAAATTTTATAAAATGAAACTGCAATAGTTTTCATCTTTTGTGGATAATTCTTGTCACAAATACATAGTTTCGTGCTTATATTTATGTATAAAAATTTTTTAGCAGCACCACATCTTTATCAGAAAATTCCGAGAATCCAAAAATTGGTACTGTTACAAGTTGCAGGCCATCATTTTAACTCGACCTCCTTCCTGTTCCATGGATAACGGTACATCTTTTAGAGGTTAAAAAATATTTTGCGTCAGCAATTTGTCGTCGAACTGCACGTATTACGTACCCTATCCTCGGAAAAGCAAAGAACTTTATTTTCGAATCTTTACTCAGGTGTACCGAATTCTGACAGTTTGGAAACGCGCAACACTTTTAGTATTTTCATCCAACTTCACTAACTTATTTTTTTTTTACTTTTACAAGAATCAAAATTGTGTCTACTAGTGAATCTGGTGGCATGATTTTAGTTAAATGTCATAAACTTGTTAAAAGTTCGGCAACAACAACGAATGTTAATATATTAAACTACCTTCTGTGTTTGTATCATGGCGTTTTCTTTTCTCGAAATAATGTTGCTCTGTTTTCCTCAGCCCTTTCACAACTTTACGTGTTCATTTCTCAATATATTGCCCTCCGCCTAAGCAAAAGTGCCATACTTTTTGCTAATATAGTCATTTTGCGGGACAAAAAGCAACCTACTGCAAATGTTACAATATTTATAAGAAGGCAAAATTGTTTAATAGAAAAGAAAATGCCATAAGTTTGTAATTTATCTCTGTTTTTATATTTAAGTAATACAAACATGAACATTTCTTTGTTAAACAAAAATAAAGTGGTGTACAGCTTAGCTAGGAATAATCTTTGTTAGCAAAAAAAAATTTAATGGATTTACTAGTCCAGTAGTTAATTCTAGTTAATTCTAGTTGAAACATTTTAGCCGTTTTTAGCCGTTTTTTTTGTCCAATCTAGCCGGTCACCCCAAAAAGTTCTGGCAACACTGCCCATAATACTATAATTAAATATTGCGCAATATTCAGAGCTATCATTTTGGTTTTTTAAATTTTTTTTTGAGATAGCATACTTTCAAAAACTATTTTTTTTATCAAAAAATTTGTATGTGAATAATTTTTCAAGAAAAAAATTTAAAAAATATTGTTTTCATAGAGAATGTTGGTGTGTGTATGTGTGATTTAAAAAAAAAATTTTCCTCGCCCCGTTCTCGAGATATTTGAAAAACTATTAAATCGATTTGTTTTTGTTTTTGTGCTGTGAAGTTTTTAAAAATGTATTATTCAAGCTCGAATTTCATATTTATATATTATTTATGTTTATCCATCAACCCTAAAAATTTGAAACAAATCATGAAGAGTGAACCCCGTCCATTTTGGTATGGAACGCCCCATATATTTACATACATACATACATATATGGCTATTACTTATTCCTACCCAAATATTTTTAAGCTGGCGTAATTAAAAATTTTCGTGAACGAATTATTGCGCAGCAGAGTGAAAAAATTAACGCTATCGTGGTTTTTCGCAACTATTAAGCTCTGAACATCAAAAATGATACCAACCACGTTCTAAAATTTGAAAATATGTATGTTTGTATATATTTAAATATCTGCAAACACTTGTTGTTGCATTTTTTAATAAAAAGTTGTCAAATTTTAATTCGCGAAATGCTCATTTTACTTTTAAATAGCGAAAATGACAAGTTTTAATTTAGTTGCTCAAAAAGTGTTTGCGAATATTTTTGAAATAATATTTCTGCTTTGTAAAATACTTAAATACCTTTGATATTAAATTGACGAAAACTATGCAAATATTTGGTGACCGAAATTAAAAGTACGAGTATTTATATTTTTTAAAATCTATACAAATACAATAATATTATAAAATTAATTGGGAGTCAATTGTGATAGAATCATTTAAAAATTATTGCCGTAAACGTTGCAATAAGTAACAAAAAAAAAAAAAAAATGCAGATATATTTCATCATAGTGTGCTGCCTAATAGCAGCAGCTGGGGCAATCCAGTTAATAAATCAAACTCCCTTAGTGTTTCTCATTGGACCAGATACAACAGAATTCTATATACAATTCCGAAATCTTTTTCATAACTTTGCGGATAATTCCGAAATTCAAGAAAACATTGTCCATGTAGATGCCGATGTGGTAAATTTACGTGGACAACAGCTAAAAGAAGAACAGCAGGAAGCTTATGTCGTATTATTCCCACAGAATGCTGAAGTAACCCGAGCCAAGCATAAAATGTGACAGTAGAGCGATGTGAAGATTTTCTAGCATATCTTGTTTGCTATTAAACTAATATGAATCAGATTCAACTTAAAATGAAAATAGTATTATTAAATAACCGTATAGATACATATAACTTGACAACAAGCCAAAGCGAAATTTTTAAACTAAAGTACAGGGCAAAGGTCTCAGCTGGTGGTATAAATACGGTGACCATCCGTCCTTTATTATACGGGACAGTCCTCTTTTTTTGACCCATTGCCCTGGTAATTTATTTATTTTATAAGGGACGCCAAATTTTCTGTATTTCTTTCAATGTCCTGTATTTGTCCCGTATTCGGTGTTCGGTATTTCGACGCCTTGACAGCTCATTAAAATGGTATGCCATGAACCACTTTTAAGTGATGTTGTTTTCTCCATTAACAGTTATTATTTTCTAATCTGAATGCCTGTGATTCGAATCGAGGAATATATACAGTGAGCAAAATATAAATTAGGGTTCGACATTTTGCCTATTTTCTCTTTAGTTTATTTAATGTTTTTTAATGTTATTTAATATTAATTATTCTTTTATGAAAGTAAAGCTCTTTTCCAAACAAAAACCATATGAATTCAAATTTCCGACTTTCTGCAAAAAACCATAAACATTAATTCTGATGTTTTACGAAAATGTCTACTGTTTTCATTGGAATCTTTAGAAAAAAATTTGATTTGCAGTTTTGTAGCTCATTAAAATTGAGTATAATAAAGTGCATGTGGAAAGTGCTGCTCATTTGCTTCTCTTTTAAAAAAATTGTCGAACATACTTACATTGTATGAAAAATTGCGTAACGTCAAAAAAAAAATT